GTTATCGATTATGACACTGTGATTAAAGGACTTCTTGAGAGGTATGTAAATGCTTACAGACACCAGCAAAGGGTGCTATACGATCATGCTATCGCTGCTATAGATTCCACAATACGTGACCCTGTGCTGATGAGTACGCGCGGGAGCTCAACAGGTTCTACCCGCCGCAAAATATCTCACTTTGAGCATGTATAGAACGCGTTTAATTTCAAGAGACGTCGACGATGCGGACGCTGTGGGGATTCGGGCATGACATGTCGTCAAGCCGCACAAGCACAAGCAGTGCCTGCAGCACCTTTCGCATTGCGACAGATTGAGAATATAGCGCATTTCGATCCTGTGCTTGATGCTGTCAATGCTGCATCAAACACTGATCTGTGATGTAGATGTTGATAGTTGTAAGCAATATACATGCTTCGTTTTAGATGCCATCAATACGTAAATAACTCTGTTCAACTACACATTAATGTTTGTCTTAATGGATCTCTAAAAACCTTTATAGCTTTCCACAACGGTCCATTCATGAAGATAAGTTTGTTATATCACTTAAGCACATCTAGAGGTTGAGAAGCATATCATATGTGTTGTGATATCGTGATCGTATATTTACACGTTCATATCGTACCTAACTTAACCAAGCCGATACTAGCCTACATTTCAAGTTATATGTTAGTTTGCTATCCTATCCAGAAAAGTGTGGGCATTTTACGTTTTCTCAACACACAGATTTATTTACGATCGCAAGCGCAGTCGATCATGTGGATGTAAGTGATATCAAAGCACGCCCGATGGAGAACAGGCCTCAATCAGCACCAAGTCAGTCAGTGACAAGAAGGCGGTCACGGCGACTTCAAGACGACTCAAATTACTCTATGAACAATACTTTATCCAAGACAAACAATTAATAGTATAATACAAGCCAGCATGCGCAACATCGTCTACCGGTACCGTATACACAGCGCAAAGATCTGTTCGTTATCCGACTGCACCATCCTCATCATACCTCACAATACTCACGTCCAATATCGATGCAGCCAGAACCGTCTTCGGCTAAGAGCAGGACACCGGTTCGCCCGTTTTGTTTATCCTAAAGATCGGGTGAGCCAAACTGCAGCAGCCTTTCCCATGACCGAGTTAAATTAATACCCCGATACGGATCAGCAGCCTGTGATGATGGCGGTGGGGTAACAGGTGCGCGAAAACAAGTCCATCATCAGATATCCAAGTGTCAGGAATCCGCTGAACTGCAGTAGGTCGTTAAGCATAGCTGGCAGTAATTCATAGCGATCCCAAACCTTCATCGATCCTGCAAATTCAGTGTTTCCGTCGCTGCGTTCACGTCATCAACACCGACGAACAATTGCGTATCCATCCAGCCGCTAGAACTAACGACGTCCGTCACATTGAAGCTCACTGAGGGCATTAATTCGTTGCCCAGTCGAGACACATAGCGCCCGACATTGGACATACCATCGAGCTTTCAGTTCTTCCGTGATTGAACAGGCCAGCAGATCAGTCTTATCCGATACTGCTTTATACATTCCAAACCGTCGAAGTGTGTAGAAAACGGCGACCTGTATTTTGCCACTTATGTTCTGCGTGACATTAATCGGTGGCGAACAGCTTCCAATCGCGTATAAATTAAGGTACCCAGTAGCTTATCTTGACTAGGGAGATGGAATCGACGGCATTATGCAGCCAGAGTCCGAACAGTAGCAAAAACACGAAAAACGACGGCCGAGCGACGGTAAAGCCTGATGGGCGGGAGAAGGATTGACGGTATCGTACAGTTCTGGCTGCTTCGTCAGCCAAAATTGATACGGGGTAGCCCGTTACATGAGACTGTCGTTAAAACAATCCGACAATAAAGAATATTACGTCGAATATTCTTTTAACAATATCACAAGACATGGTGATATTGTTGGGATGACCGAAGGGTCTACTTCATTGGTTGATATCGTGATGATATCAACCCATTAATCGCTGCTAGACGCGCGCAATGGGTGGTGAGTAGACATCATCATACATGTAGTTATATTAGTATAATTAAGTCAAGACAACAGAGATTCAAGGAATTATAGGACTTAATTATATTAATACAGTTTTACTTTTACCAGAGACTAGTCTGACTACTTAGTCTCCTTTCCTTACTCTGTGTTCCTTAACACCTAGCAACGCACTTTCGACCACTGTCGTCAGTGGAAGTATACTCCTTACTGGTCAACCAGTACGTAGTCAACAGTGACCCGTTACAAAATAAAAAGCGCTGAAACTAGAGTGGTTTATCACTACGTTTTGCGCTCTTGAGAACGATCATAATAAGGCACCACGCAGCAATGCCCGCTATGCCTATTGCGCTCTGTTTTGCGCTGCGTCGCAGGTCAAATATTATTCTGCTTCGTGTAACGATGCTGATGTTCCTTAGAAATCGACCGTGATAATTTTAGAATCAGGAGCGCTAAAGAACGTCAATTTAAATTTAGAATTTAGAGACCCCTAGACCCAATAACTTGTTTTATGTAATAGGTGAAGGCTCATTAGCGAAAACTGAAGGCTCATTAGCGGTCCCCTATTCAAAAGAGCAAGATTTTGACTCAGAGCATTAAACATATTGATATTGGTATAGTGGTAGGTATGCAATCCTTTTGGCTAATTAATTAGTCGCTTTCGATTATGCTGGCTACGCGTGTAACAGACGGTCCCTCCAAGCACAACATGTGGCATTCCAAACTTTTCTAGGGAAAAGTAACGTAAACACAAGATTCGACGAAGTTGCAATCGCACGCAGCAAGCTACGCACACGTAGGACAGAGATCTAGCTAGCACCGATATGGTAATAATAGAATGTTTAAGTAGTCAGTAGGCAATACATATATATATGTGGAATTCAGTATCTACGAGGCGATTACGCGATGATGAGTCAGATCAAGAGACAACTGATCCAGATCGGCACACCATCAGATGTTATGCTAACGTATACGTGAAACGATCGACAGTCGCATTAGTCTTATCACCCAGAGCGGTCGATGCCTCCACAAATTTTGCGAGAAACATAAGCTATCAATCTATGGGTACGCAATGTAAGCCCAAATTATAAACAGCAGACACGGATCAAAGTACTCCTCTCTAAGTCATCAAGTCAAGGCGCAGTGAGACTGGGTGGTCTAAACAGCAATGTCCGGATCGCGACTTCCTCCACAATCGGGTAAGAAGTGGAATAAAAGATGAAGAAGGAGTGAATTGTCGCGAATACTGAGGATCCAAATCGAAATCGGAAGCATACGTGATTTGATTACATATGGTGGGCAATTATAGAGATTTAACATATTGAGGAGACCCTTTATCGAAAGGGATCACATACTCTAATCGGAATGTGCCACAATCACTATATCCACCGATCACCGGATCAATATCAATCGAGTATGAATGACCACGATCAGCTTACTGCGCTATCTCGACGTGCACAAACATCGAAACCAGTACGTGCCAATATATATAGATATAGCAGTCGTGGCAAGCTCGTCGCGCTGAGTTGGGGCCTAGCTGAACGATGAGGCGAGCAGATAAGTTATCAGCACTGAAGCTAGGATCTTTGATTTTTAATGCACAAATGCCGTAGCAGCACTTTAAATGGTTGCTCAAAGACTGTTTTGAAAAGTACATTTGCTACAGACATACTGCAGGTAACGAGCGTCGTTTCGTAATTGCATGGCTTCGTTCCGGTCTATCAGACCGACCACCTGATCCACAGATAAGGTATCTCAGCAACTGTCACCCAGCCACGCGCACTTTCTATTAGCTAATAAATACCGGTCGTGTCTTTCTGCTTGGTGCTTACGAAGTAGGTTCAATGCCTCGTCGTAGCGGCATCATGACGTCAGAACCTTAATTTGCTTACATTGATATTGATTTATGAGAAATTTGTGGGCTACAGTCCGAAAGATACTACTAAATAGAAAAGCTAATCAGATTCGGCGGCGCTATAATCGCTTACTATTCCGGGGCACCCTCCCGCCCGTACTGACACATTACAAGCTACCTTAACTGATACAGTGTGGGCAGGTGTATTGAACTTCACGTACACTGTGCGCGTGGCACAGGAACTCTGATCTTCTGTACTTGAACATTAAAAAGAAAAAAATAGTAGAAAAGGTTTTTTGTTTATAGGAATTGTTTTTTCCACGACATTTTTTGCTATTTCCACCACACTTCAAGATGCCATCTATCGTTCCGCTGGATCCCAACTGCATTCCACCTGTAGTTGGTCAAACGCGTCCCGCTTTCTCGGTGTTTCTTGTTTATCACAAGGACCGACTTTCGCTATTCAAACAAGGCGTCAAGGTTACAACCTAGTTCCACACGCGGATGGGTGTGCGCATGGTCCGATCATTTGATCGTGGATGCGAAATTTGCCTTCAGTCCAAAATCCTTGAGACGATCTAAAAGCGCGTCTGGATTCTCAAAGACGCTTTGTGCGTTGAGTTTGGCCATAATGTGGTGGTGTGGTAAAATAATGTGGTGGTGTGGTGCTGTTTTAATGTAACAAAAGTGATGGTGTGGCGGAAGTTGTTAAAAGTGTGGTGGAAATAACAACCCCTTTTATAGCTCAAGTTTTCTAAACGCATCCTCATCACCTTACTAAAGATATAATCAGACTGCACATTCCATTTGTAATTACTCGCTTGTTACCCATTGCACGCGTCTGGCAGCGAAATGTGGTTTAGTTGGTTGATCTTACGGCCTATGTCAATTAGTTCGTGGAGCGGTGCCGAGCATGACATTTTATGGTCGTTCCTACAATATCAACTTAGTAAGATCAATATTGCAGAATATTATCAATCACGATTATACTCACATTGACCCGTTCTACTTTGGTGCCAATAACATGAAATGGGCTCACCCGTTACACTCACTGGATACCAAATACACTCTTTTACATAGGCTGTTCGCTTACCTGTACGTCTATCATCACCGTACGACCGACCGACGGACCGACCGACATGGGAAAGAGCAAATGGAAGCAAAAAACGATCAGTAGAGCGCTCACGCCATCAGAGTCCGAGTCATCCGGTACAACGACTGACACGAAACGTTTACGTCCTGACAACAACAAGCGACAAAAAACATCGCAAATGACTGGACATGCTGAGTCCGAGGTGGACATGGCTACATTGAGCTTTGCTGACGCCTTATCGGCTGGTCTGGCCTTTGAACAGCTTCATTCGTACGATGGGGCGGTGGAGGCCTTCCAGCGTGCAGTCGAGTGCCAGCCGAATCATTTGGAGGCGCTCACACACCTTGCAGATAATTATGTTTCAGCTGGAGACCCGGACAAAGCTCTTCCATTATACATCAAGGCCAGCAAGCTGAAAGGTGGCCAGGAGGATGCATCCATCTGGTTTCGACTTGGCTTGACGTACGTTGCAGTTGATCAGCTGCCGCAAGCAACAAATGCCTATCAAACATCGATGAGAATCAATGCTATAGCGTTGGAAAAGGTCAATGGTGCTGATGAAAATAGCAAAGAACTCAGGAAAGCGTACAGCATTACACTTGCAGTACTTGCTGAAGCTTACGGAGAGCGTAGAGATCTGGACTCGGCGGTAAAGGTGTTTGAAGATGCGGTGGTCAAGTTGCCAGACTCTGCCAATATGCAGTACAACTTGGCCAATATGCGCATGGCGAGAAGCAAAAGCATGGCGGATGAGGCGTTTGATGCAGAGGTGGTGCAACGTTTAGAGCGGGCGATTGAACTTGATTCAGGCTCACGCGACTTTGTTGTCGATCTGATCGAGTACTTGGAGCAGCACAAGCAGCGGCCAGATCGGCTTTGTGAATTGAAACGGAAAGCTGCGGAACTAGAATCTGCCACGACCACGGCGACGAGCGATATAGCCGAAGGTAAGGATGAAGGGAGTGCTACGAGTGAGGAGGAAGAAGATAGCGAAGATGAAGAGTGAAAAACGAAGGGGCAAGAGCAGCGAAGCCCGCTGACTGGTCGACTTGTTCCCTAGACAACGAGAACGTATTGAGATGTCATGGACGACGGCGACAATGAACAGCGAACAGTTCAGGCACTTCGTCGATCGTGGCATCAAGCAATGACGGTCCAGATCGAGGAAAAATCGTACGCGCTGCAATGACTAAGCGATTATACAACACCATGGAAAAATAACCCTACACGCCCTCTTATCATACACTTGTCAGAGCACCGTCAAAGGCTTCGTACTCCAGACCACGCAGCGTCCAGCCACGCTGCAGTGTCAGTACTTCCAGTATCGGTTTCTCCTGTCGGAACGCACGAAGCCAATCTACTGCCAGCTCGCTCGCAGCATGCTCAAGATTACTCGCTGCGCTGACAAAACTGTTTCGGGTCACCCGGGCTTTGGCCTCGCGTCTCAATTCCTCATACCTCTTTGTCACGAACAGCTGCGTCCAGCGATTAGCAAGTATTTTGATGTCCAGGTCTTCCATCAGTGGCAATGTGTTTGTAGTGCCCCTGGCAATGCTTCGGACCGCCGTTGCTGCACTCTTGTAGTCCTCCTCAGCGCGGTCGTAACGTAAAAGCAGACTGTGCAGGTCCCCGCGAAGTACGTGCGCCTCAATCGATTCGCGTGAACTCTCTGGTGCAAAATTCGCAGCGATATTGCATGCACGCAAAGCATGTTGTGTGGCCACGGTATCGTGTTCGGACTCGACCACGCGTCGAGAGAGCTTTGCGCATAGACGGAGTCCAGTGTGCACGTACTCGGGAACCAGAAACGGATCGGACGGCCATAAGTCTGCGCCACTTTGCCCATCGCTCTTCGTGCTAGTAGAACCACCACCCTTGCCCTCACTACTGCCACTACACGCATCCCCCAGAGCAGCATCATTCTCGACTGCCAACTCTCGCCCCGTCGTCATCGACAACATCGACGACGAGGCAGACACCACAAGTGCTACTTGCACGAGAACACACACAAGCACCAGACTGGCCAGCACGAACTTGGCCGTCCTCCACCAAGCCTCTCCTCGTCCCGCACTGTTTTGGATCTCAGGATGCGTCAGCGTGTCAATCGCGCAGCCAAATCGTCTCCGAAACGCTGCGTCAGCTTGCCAATAGTGTCGCTCCCACGTGCGCTTGTCCTCACTCGACTTCCACCACCTCAAATCATCGTCCGGTTCTCGCTCCACCTCCTCCTCCTCCTCGTCGTTTTCGTTGTCTTCCTCACGTCGTTTGTTCCACAAACAGTTTCCTGCCTCACTACAGTCCTCCTCGTCCTCGTTCAGTCTCTCGTCCTCGCTCTCGTCCCACGAGTCGTCATCACTCTCCAAGTCGTCATCAAGCGAACGAGACGTAACCAGACGAAAAACGAGCACATCACGCCACGATATGAGCGCTCTACGTGGGACTTTGTGCGACATACGGTTCTCGACCGTCACGTCTGACTCGACCTGGTGGTCGTCGTAATGCGTACGATGCTTCCGGTCGTTGGCCGACGACGCAGCCGCAGTCGTTGCTACCGCACGACGTGAACACGAAGTGGGTCGATGACTAGCGAACGGAACGCCTCGGTGGCGACGTTGATTGCTATCGATCGAAGGCGTCGAGACCGCAAGCATCGTGCTCGAGCGTCACGTGTTCCGGCGGGTCTGTCTGTGACGATGATTACTATGCCGCTGATTCTTCTCCTTATGTTTGTGCGTTTTTTGCGACATTCAATCCATAAGTTCAGTGTATCTCGTCCCTATACCCCTCACACAACAACCACACGAGCAAAGAAAAGCTGATCGCGTTAGTGGGGGTCTCCAGTATACGTATAGTGCCACGTGAAGTCTTCATAGTTGGTCTTCACTCAATCTAGATAATTCGCTGGATCATTTGCGCGAGCCGTCCGACGACGTTATCGCCTTTTCCACCAATCCGAACGCGTTCATTTGCTCGCGTCACCGTCGTTGTCACGATTCACGCTGAACCTCACGTGCCGAGCATTTCTCCGAATTATCCGGTTCGTAAAGCACGCGCTTGTATTGGAGTCACGTCTGGTTGCCAACAAGCCATGACGCGTGGAAACCAGCGGGACACGGACCGTGCGGTACGAACAGCACTTGTCAATACTTTCGACCGCGTAACGTGTGATGTAGCGATCAAATGTCGACACTCTTGACACTAATTGCAAATTGTAATGACTTGTCACTTTTCGCTCGTGGATGGCTCCTGCAGCGTGCTCAGGCGCGTCAAGCGAAGCATAATCCGAGCGGGAGTCAGGGCAATCCGTTGGCGAAGCGGGAGGCGGACGCCAAGGCGCTGCAGGAGAAGATTGCGCGGAAAGAGAAGCTCAAGGCAGAAGGGGGCAATGTCAGTGGGAGCGGTACCAAGGGCAAGAATGGCAAGCAGCAGCAGCAGCAGCAGCAACAGCAACAGCAACAGAAACAGCAGCCGCAGAAAAAGAAGAAGTAGAGATGTAGATGACCTGGCGACGGGTCGCCGGGTATAGAGCAAAGGAGTCGGACGTGGAGGTGATGGAAGCGAGCACGTGGATCGTAATAGACAGAGGGATAGCTGAGGCTGGTTGTGGTTTGAGAAACACGCTGAAAGTCGTGACTGCACAAAAGGTTCTCGAAAAGAGCAGGGCAGGAGGAAGAAACTTGACTGCTTGTTCCGATTGACTGAGGTCCGCGGCCCCTGTCACGACTGTCACCGCGCTATGTCAATACGTGAAGAAGCTTCAGTTTCATCTGTCACTGTGCTGCCTGTCACCTGAAGTGCTATTGCACGTACCTCAAAGGTGGTAAAAGCACGACTGGTCACCGCTATTGGTTCCAGTAGCTTCTCTGCTGCTAGGCCGAACCTCAGCAACACCAGCAGTAAGTGCTGGTCGATTATTGGGGTCGACGGACCTCGTCAGCAATCTCATCGTAGAAGTTGAATAGCTACTTGCTGACAAATAAAATGGGCCAGTGGCGAGTTGCGATAGCTCAAGTTCGTCTTCTTCGAAGCACATGCATACGAAGAAAGAGCCCATGTATTTGCACGCGCAGATTGTCCGTCTCTTTTTCTCGAGGCACAACAGCTTGAAGTGCTCGCATCTCACGTGACGCCGTGGTCCTACGCAATAGCAAAAGCGTCGGTTTAAATCAGTACAAAATTGTCAGTTTCGACATTCGCGTCAACATCGACTGAGATACTAATGGACCCTGCGACGTACGATGAAGACGCGTATCGCTCCGAGCTTTTGCGCAAGATGCGCATGAGTGAATCGATCGTATACCAGGCCATCTTTGCTCCGGCAACCGTTACAGGCGGGGAGACAATGCTGGTGGCTGCAACGAGCTCGGGGATGATCCACGTCTATCGACTCAGTCCAGTCATGACTCTGCAATACTGGAATCAAGTCAAGTGTGGCGAGTACGGTTGCGACTGTAAAAAGTCAAATATTACGCACAATATCATGAACTGACTTGTGGTATTGATACATGACACGCTCGCGTCGATTATACACCATCTGCAATAGGTCGACAGCTTTTCCCGGACCAAGTCTTTCGTTCCAGGCACACCCAACGCAAATTTATTCCCTCTGCTTTGCCGGTGATGCAACAAACCCATTACTAATCAGGTACGTGGACGAAATGACTGAGCTTGTAGGTAAGAACTAGTGGCTGGTGAAAAGACGTTGACAGACGTTGAGAAATGGTCTGTTGTCAGCGGAGGAGACCAAGACTTTCGGGTGTGGAGATGGAAAGACATCTTGTTGACCATGGAAGATCCTGCCAACGTCAAGAACCTCCTGGCGGTGCATGTCGGATACTTGAAACGTCAGTCGCTGGGGTTCAGAGGGACTTTGCTGCCCGCAATGGAGGTCAATGATGTAGTCGTGAGCAAGAATTCTGGACACTTATTCTTGGCAGGTGGAGATAGTGTGGCACACGAGTGGGATGTAGTGACACAGCAATTTACGCGGCTATTTGAGGGCCACGAGGACTATTTGCATGCTGTGCGTGATTTGCATCACTCTCAGGAGCTCGCGACAAGCTCTGAAGACGGCACGCTTGGCATTTGGGATGTGCGTCAGGCCAGAAACGTCGAGTTCCTACGTCCATGGCAAGCAACAACGTCGTCGATGTCGAGCTCATCACCATCGCCGTCGCTGTGGATTGGTGCTGTCGCTCACGATGACTCCGAAATGTGGCTAGCATGTGGTGGTGGTACCAAGCAACCGACCGGTGGTCGATCTCGTAATGCGCAAGCAACTCGAGGCTTCTTGAGCATGTGGCATTTACCCTCTCGAGTGCCTGTGCACTATACCACGACGACGTGCGATGTGCATGACGTTGTGTTTCACCATATGGACCTGCTTAGTGTGGGAAACGATGCGAGCCTGAAGAAGTGGAACCGCAGCTCTGGCCAGCTGCTATCGGCTGCAAGGTCGACGGTATTGTCCAGCCACTTTTGTGCAGTCGACCGTGCCACGGATATCGTCGCAGTGGGTGGCGCTGCACCTCTCATTGATATCTACACGATGCCTGGCGTCGTGAGTTTCTCATTGGTCGTCGACAGTGAGTCGAGCGCTCGAGCAAGTTAGGCTGGTGACATTAGAACAAGGTATTGGACCCGTGGGAAAGCGCTTTACACCGACCAGATGACTTTGGTGAACTGTGGTTGACCTGACAAGGTGTGCGCTGCCCCGGCCCACAACCCGTGTTTCGCTGGGTCGCACTTCATTTTGTAATTCGAGGCAACTGCGACGGCAAATAATGGCATCACATGACCAGTTTATATCGCATCCTTGGACGATCGCGGAATCGATTGTGAAGACGAGGACGCGGATGTTGTACGTCCCGTAAACGTGGAGTCAGTACTTTTGCAGTCGCTTCCGAGTTCTAGCCATGATAGTCTGTTCTCCAACAACAGCTTACCTTTAATTACCAACATGTTGAGGGTGTAGCCCACTTTAATGTCGATCAACAGGCGTAGGTACATACTTACCTCGTACGCGTTGTGCAAACGCCAATTGTAGCTGATGCTATAAAGACAGATAAGGATATGTAATATGTAATTGTAAGGCTTCAGACATGACTAGCAACACAGTTCAGATTGACCACAAACAAGCTTTATAGTGCTTCATCTATACGTAAGTCGGTGGACGTATCTCTATGCAAACTTGTCGATTCCATATGAAATGTAGATGCCAAGGGCGGACTGCATGCAGATGTTTAGGACATCAAATGAGTCGCCAGCAGTAGCGATCCCATGCTCAGCATGGATTATATTCTGCAGCTCAAACACATACGCGAGACTCTTATGGCGCAAGCGGATGGTACCTATTAAATATTACGTGTCTCCTTCGAGCTCACGTTGAGCTCTTTAGCTTTCTGGTTGCAGTTTTGGTAGCGGTATCATAGCTGGTGATTTTCGCGTGCTCGCAGGAGACGATGTGATGGATAAAATAGCGGACTAGACTTCTTGCCACTACGTTCGTGTCGGCGATGCTGCGATAAACCGGTTAGGAGATCCAGGAGGGTAGGAAAAGAAAGTTAAGCTGATGGGTGAGTAAAGGGAAGCATTCCCGTAGAAATCTGGCCCAACGGATAAGCCATTTGCCTCGCTCAGAAAGTACAACGGATGTGCAAATGTATTCGTTCAACGCGCAGCAATCGTACAACGCGCAGCAATCGTACAACGCGCAGCAATCGTACAACGCACTCATTTTGGCATTTTCTGTACGCCCTAGCAAGCACGTGATATTTGATGTCAACGATTCACATGGTAGAAGAGAAATACGATGGGCACTAGAAGTGGAGCTGTCGGAGAGATGCAGACATAGCAAGTGCCTTTACGATCACAGCTGATTCGATGGGGCTGTAAGGTGTTCGCGTAACTATCGCATGTACAGCGCTCGAGAGGGCTTATGTTGACGCCATTTTTCATTGCTATCGGCATTCTTGCGCATTCTGTAACGGGGTTACACGTCATTTGGTAACAAACATAAAATGTGTGGTTCACACCAGGGAGGAGATCCCATTGAAAATGAAATTAGAACACCTTATCAGTTGTTGGTGGCTGACGCGCGCCAGCCACCAGATACAATCATTTTAAAAAAGGTACTAATTAAAGCATTAGTGTCTAGATTATGTACGTTTAGTCTAAGATGTCATT